ATGGAACTGTTTAAAGCATGAAAAGCACAGGTGAACTAATAACGTTTAAAAATGCCTCTGTTGCTTTTAAGAGTCCCAGTAAAATGCGGAGCCAGCATACACAAAAGCAGGGCCCTCACAATGGCCACACCTAAAATGGAATCAAACCATTTACAATGTCATTTGTTACACCTACAAACATGTTGAGACATGTCCCAACAAAGAACTATGTTTTAGTCGCACAGAAAAGGACATTAGTATTGTATTTATTAAAGTATATTTAAGTGTGAGTGAGTTTAAGTGTGTAAGAGAGTTAAAAGAAATTAGTATTTGGATATTACTTACTATATCATATTTCTCATACATAAATACACAGAATACACACAGAGAAATTTTACCTGATTACTTCAAAGTCTTTTCAAAATGTTTATGGGGCTGTTATGACCTTGTGTTGTATCATGTTTTAAGCAGCCCATGAAAACTCCTTGTATGTGCAGGCTGATCCTTGTCCTGATAACCTACCTGGAACTGAGGACATTCTTCATACATTTCTGTTAACCTCACGAGTGCGTAAATCCATCAGAAAATGTCAGGAACTCAGTTGGAGAAGTGACCTCATGGTCCTCAGAAGGACTTTAACCTGCCATCATATGACCACTAAGACTGCTGGTTATGTGAAGCTGGCAGTCTGAGCAAGGGCAACACTGTGCCTGGTGCTGTAGAGAGCAAGGATGCTGATCACTATTCCTGATGATTATAATCAGTTCTAGTATCGGGTAAACTTTGATTCATATGACCATGTTCTCTTTTTTTGCTTGGACATGTGATAGAGAATTAATAGTCGATTTTCTTTTTTTGTGAATTGAATGATTTTATCAACCCAGGGAAGTTTACATTCTACAGTAAGAAACTTATTCATGATAAGTATGTTATAAGCTAAGGGTCAATTATTTTTGAATTCAGTATGTTTGAATGTAACAACTCTTGGGCCACAAAATGATAAATGAATTGAGGCAGCAGGCCTCAGGCCTCATTCTCTCTCAAGTATTCCTGACAGTGTGGAGAGTTGCTTTGAAACAGCATTTAAAAATTCATCTCTGGCAATAAAATTTACAGTATGCATTACTGAACTGTTGGCTGTGTTGGAGGAACTCATAAACTCATTATTTCTGAAATGCAGAAAGAAACTATTAGGGATTCACTTAGTGTCTTTTTATAGGCACTTAAACATGGCTTGTCTACTGTAAATGTAGTGCTTGAACCAAGGCTGGTTGTAGCGGTGTTTGTATCCTGAATCTGAGGAAGTATATGTAGTATATGTGTGTGTATGTGTGGTGTGTGTATATATATACACACACACACACACACACACACACACACACACACACACACACACACACACACATATACTACACATACTTTCATGCTTTTCTGCCTTGCATTGCCTTGCTGTTGAAAGGTGCTGTACAAACAATCTTGCATTGCTTTGATACTGGTGACAAACTAGAGATTTGATTCTCCATGCAGACTCAAGTGAAAGTGAGGAACAAAGCAGGAAGCTGAAACATACAGTGGCAGGTGCTTTTTATTTTTTTATGCCATAGATATCTAACAATGATAGCCTCTTGGATAAAGAACAGGGCAGCCCTTTTTCTGAGGTGTTTGTGCTCATTGGACAATAGCAGCAGGAATAGGAGGAGCCTGAATGAACACTACCGCTGCCCCTGCTCTTTCTCCTCGCTCGGCTCGTTGCTCCGCTGCAGGCTGCGTGGCTCTCGAAATAAACCCACGTATAACTTTTTATATTGTTTTTTTTTTGTTTAGTTTTTCGCGTTTAAATTCAAAAGCTTGCGACGAATACAAATGGCTCAACCAGTTTCCAGCAGTGTAGGACGTGATACAGGATACTCGGAAAGCGGAATCGTTTAAACTGAGCCACAACTTCAAACAAATCAACGGCGGAACAAGTTGTAACCGAGATAAAGGAATCCGGCTTAGCCCTGCTCCTATCAAGGTAAGCATTAAAACTCCTAATCCTCCTCAAGTGTCGATATCCGAGATACGTGCCCGTTTGACTTTTCTCCAACTTCCGAAATGAGGGTTTAGTTACAGCCTGTAACACTGGATCCTTTTGATGTCTGGTGGTTGTAGCAGCCTGGATGTTTGCAGGCTGCTGCTGCTGCTGCTGCTGCTGCTGTTGCTGCTGCTGCTGTTGCTGCTAACTTGGGAGGAAAGTTGAGCGCATGCTGAAGTGCTGACCGGAGTTTCACATTTACTGCACAAAACGAATTGGATTTCACGCTGAGTCCCTCCACGGAAGTCCACCGTTTCCCTTTCAGTGGGGCTGAATAGCCGACTTAAATTTATCTGCTTTGGAACAATGGAGGCTTTTATGCGGAAGATATTTATTTGGTCGTTTTCAAGTTGTGTACAGTCTTTATTAACCCACTGTAGCATGCCATGATTGCCTCATACTAGTCATATTCATAACAAGCTTGAATGTGTTGTTATTGCATAATTATATCTACTAGAATTTGAGTGCAGAATGCAATAGAGGTTAATCATATTTTAAATTCAGCATAAATATTATAATTCCACCCCAGAATATCCTCCTGCTTAAAGCAGCAGCTGCAAGCTAGTCTAAACCCACTGCAGATGATCAAAAGAAAGATTGGGTTCTTATCTGTTGCACAGTTGTTACATAATTTTATCCTCAAGGAGCTGGTCTGAGGTGTGAGATCTTATGTGGGCTTGAAAGCTTTGCCTTTGGCACCATCTTGTATGTGAACCAGCAGAGAAACAGAACAGGCTGGCAGGAATCTTTTGGCTCTTGCTATGGCTGGAGGTGACTCACAGCCCTAACATGTTTATAGGGGTGGAAAGATGTGATATACAGCAACACACCCAGGTGTTGCTTCTTTACTTAACATTGAGGTTGTAATAGGAGCAAGTTAAGATAGCTAATTTTTTGTCACAGGTTTGAGAGCTGAGTCTTGACATTGATGTTTCATGGTGTAAATCTTTATGGCACACAGTGTACACACACTGGTTTCTATTGGACTGCTTCTTATCTGATCCCCTTTCATCTCTCGAAAGTCTGAAGTTCATTTCCGATGTAACTGGGTACACTGATATGAGGCCATAAGCCTGTTGTTCAGCTGTTGTCATAATGAGGTTTGTTTGATTATAAAATGGGAGTGTTTATGGTAGCGCTCACATCAATAGGAGCATTCATTCATAAAACCCTTCCTCCTGTTCAACTATCAAATTAAACAAATGCAAAGGAGTGTCTCTTTGTACTTGTGCTCATATTTTTCCTCTGTATTTCCTCCTTTCCAGGTTCAAGTCAAGATGTCTGTCAGCAACCACGAAAACAGAAAGTCTCGCTCTAGTTCTGGCTCCATGAATATCCAACTCTTCCACAAGACGTCCCACGCCGACAGCCTGTTGACTCAACTCAACCTGCTGCGCAAGCGAAAAGTCTTCACGGATGTTATCCTGAAGGCCGGAAACCGATCCTTCCCCTGTCACCGAGCTGTCCTGGCCTCCTGTAGCCGATACTTTGAGGCCATGTTCGGTGGCGGGCTCAGGGAGAGTCGTGACGCTGAAGTCAACTTCCACGACTCTCTCCACCCGGAGGTTCTGGAGCTCTTGCTTGATTACGCCTACTCGGCCCGAATCATAATCAACGAGGAAAACGCAGAGTCTCTCCTAGAAGCCGGAGACATGCTTCAGTTCCACGACATCAGGGACGCAGCGGCAGAGTTTCTAGAGAAGAACCTCCACCAGTCGAACTGTCTGGGGATGATGCTGCTGTCAGACGCCCATCAGTGTCAGAGACTGTACGAGCTGTCGTGGAGGATGTGCCTGGCAAACTTTGCTACTCTCTTCAAGACAGAGGACTTCCTCAGCCTGCCCAGAGATAAAGTCAAGGAGCTAATTCTCAGTGAGGAGCTGGAGGTGGAGGATGAGAGCCTTGTGTACGAGGCTGTTATCGACTGGGTTAAGGCAGACATGGAGCAGAGGCACAGTGAGCTGCCTGAGCTGCTGCGCTGTGTCCGCCTGGCGCTGCTCCCCGAAACGTATCTACTGAAGAACGTCGCCTCAGAAGAGCTGGTGATGTGCCATAAGGAAGGCAGGGAAATTGTTGAAGATGCCGTACGGTGTAAGATGAGGATCCTCCAGAACGACGGTATTGTAACAGGCTTCTGTGCGCGGCCGAGAAAGGTCAGCCAGGCCCTGCTGCTGCTGGGAGGACAGACTTTCATGTGTGATAAAGTCTACGTCATCGACAACAAGACCAAGGAGATCACCCCCAAAACAGACATCCCCAGCCCCAGGAAAGAATGCAGTGCTTGTGCTATTGGTTGCAAGGTATGTATGTGATGTATATACATACTTCAATATTTGCATTTTTCATTTTACGTTGTGTAGTTGTACTCAAAATGTGATTTCTCTGCCTGTCTCTCAGGTTTATGTTACCGGAGGGCGCGGTTCTGAGAACGGTGCCTCCAAAGATGTCTGGGTCTACGACACGTTACATGATGAGTGGTCCAAAGCAGCCCCCATGTTGGTAGCCAGATTTGGACATGGTTCTGCGGAGCTCGACCACATGCTGTATGTTGTGGGAGGACACACTTCTCTTGCGGGATCCTTCCCCGCCTCTCCATCTGTGTCTCTCAAACAGGTGGAACAGTACGACCCTCAGACCAATAAATGGACGCTGGTGGCTCCGCTCAGAGAAGGGGTGAGCAACGCTGCCGTTGTTGGTGCCAAAAACAAACTCTTTGCCTTTGGAGGCACCAGTGTCAACAGAGACAAGTATCCCAAGGTGCAGTGCTTTGACCCTTGCCAGAACCGGTGGTCTGTACCAGCCGCCTGTCCACAGCTGTGGCGATACACGGCTGCAGCTGTAGTTGGCAACCATGTCGTAGTGATCGGCGGCGATACTGAATTCTCAGCCAGCTCTGCTTACCGGTTCAACAGCGAGACATACCAGTGGTCCAAGTTTGGTGACGTGACAGCCAAACGGATCAGCTGCCACGCAGTGGCGTCAGGAAACAGACTATATGTGGTCGGGGGATACTTTGGAGCTCAGAGGTGTAAGACACTAGACTGTTACGATCCATCATCCGACTCTTGGGACAGCGTGACCAGCGTGCCCTACTCACTCATTCCCACCGCCTTCGTCAGCACATGGAAGTACCTCTCAGCATAGAGGGACGCACTGTCTGAGGTTTCTACGGTGAGTAATTGTAGTTTCCTTAAACTGGCACAAACAAACAAGATGTGAATTATATGTGCTATTCATAGTGTCCCTATTGTCACATAATAAATGGGAACTGACTTTATAGTAACAAGAATATCTTTAATCAGTTCTAACTGCTCAGTCACTTGTTTAACAAACCCACGTGAATGTCAGTTTGAACCAGACGAGGCCAGTTTAAAACCCCTCGCTGTTGTCAGGGTTGCTAGTGGTTACAGTTACACATTATCTAGCTGCTGTGATGGCTGGCTGTTGGATAAACACGGTGGAGTCCTGGTTTAGAGAGCAGGAGGAATGTCAGTGGTGTTGGTAATTACAGAGAGAGAGGTACAACATGAGACCTGTGTCAGCGACAGGAGCGAGGTGGAGAGGCAGGGATCAGGTCTGTGCTTGTAGTGGCAGTGCTCTGCAGGGCCAGGCTGCTGTGCGCTAACTGACTGCCTATTATGAGTCAGTACCTTAGAATGAGTCAGTACCTTAGAGCAGTCATAAGTGTAAAAGGTGATATGACACACGGCATTCAAAAATATAGAGGGCATGGAGCCAGAGGAGCACAAGGAGGTTTTGGTGAGCTTGATGAGTCTGATGATGATGTCCTCATACATATCCTCAACATTTTTCTACAAGTGCTAGTGCTAACTAAAATAATACAATTTTATTCATATAGAACTTTACGGGTTAGTGCTTTACAGGATGAAAACCAAACAAAAATCTACTTTAGCATCGTATGTGGTGACAGAATACAGGGCGATATGTTCTGCTCAGAGTAAGAAGTTCAGGAGGGGAATAAGGGGGTGGAAGGAAGAAGGATCTATCTCAATGGTATGAAAATATGATTGACTGAAATGTAACACACCATATCAGTGAAGAATTGCTCGTCCTAATCTGCCTGAAGGAACGACAGGTGGCAGTTTTCACAGCTTCATGCAAGATAAGAGATGATAAATTTTTCCCGAGGTGTTTCGAGTTATTCGCACAGGGTGAGGCAGGAGGGACGGAGGGGCTAGGAGATGAAACAAGACGAGAGAAAACACATATTATTGATGATATTTTGAAGGTTTTAGGGTTGTTTTTACATGTGCCCGGTGGTGGTAGAGCTAAATTTAAATTTTATGACGCAAGGCCTGTCCCGTGATCTTCTTTTAGTGCTGATGCAATCAATTGAAAACAGTTCATTGCTACACCAGATTTGCATTTTAAAAAGCTCAGACTCTGCTGCATCTTTTATTGATGGTTTTGTGGTTTTATCTTTACTAGAGCTGTGCATTTTTAAAGTAAAAATACGGCAGGGTTTTATTAGGTAGACTACATTCTCATGGCTTCACAAAGCACATACATTATCTGTCCTGATGTAATCATTTTGTGCTATATGTTCACTGGTTTAATGCAGCCTGTTTGATGACATGTCTGTCATCAAGTATAACAAACATTCACACTTAAAGCAATAGTTTGCCTATGCAATGCGTACGCTACACATGTAAAGATGTCAAAAATTCATGATCATCTTTTTCAATGTCCCCTTACCAGCAGAGTTCCTCAGTTGTAACCCAGAAAAAAACCCTTTTAGTGTGACAAATTAAGTCAGTTTCTGTGACTAAAGTTTAGATATATCAGTCTGTTCTGTTCTGCAAAGAACAGCAGCTTTTTCCTGTCAGAGTGACTCCAAACAAAACTTCTACGCTGCCAAGAAGTTTGAAAGTAAAGCTAAGTGGAAGCAAGTGAAAAGCAGAAGGCTTATGTGTGACTTGTGTCTACAGTAAACAGCTGGGTATGATGGAGCTGGGGGCTTAGCATTATGAGGCTGCTGGTACGGACCACTGTCTCCATGGTACTCAAGGTTTTTCCGGCCTGATGGAGACAGACAGCCTGGCTATAAAAGATCAAGGCACCGCGTCCTTATGAATTCAGTTAGGCAGTTACGGTAGTAACCATCATGCTGCCGACTGCCTTTATGTTTAATTACAGCAGACATGGAAAAAGCTCAGATTTCCAGCTTGTTGAGCGGGCGTCCTACCCTGACGCTGCTTGACTTTCTCTCACCCGAGACGGGGGAGGGGTTTCAGAGGAGGAGTGAAGTGGCAGAAATTTAAGGAACAACAAAGTGACACAGAGCAGGATGCATTCACACACACACACACACACACACACACACACACACACACACACACACACTCTCTCACAGATATATACACAAACAGAGGAGGAGGATGAAGCGGAGAGCGGGTAAGACCAGGAGAAGCAAAGCTATATTTTGCGCCGTTTGGCAGCCGAGACTAACGCCTGACTAAAAATACTTGTCAACTTTCAGCTGGGATCAGAGAGGAAAATAATTGTGTGTGTGTGTGTGTGTGTGTGTGTGTGTGTGTGTGTGTGTGTGTGTGTGTGTGTGTGTGTGTGATGGTGTGTGTGTGTGTGTGTGTGTGTGTGTGTGTGTGTGTGTGTGTGTGTGTGTGTGTGTGTGTATCTTTCATGTTTATGATGGGGCTGAAAACCACCAGTCAGCTGTTCAAGTATTCACTAGTAGTATTGTAAGTTTTTACACAGTTGTGAAACCACTCGTTTTCTACTCATACTACTCTCCCTCTCTCTCTCTCACACACGCACAGACACACACACACACACACACACACACACACACACACACACACACACACACACACAGGGAGTTGCATTGCTGGCATTGCCTGTCCTTTAAAAAGCCAGCCATCCTTACTCTAATTTGGGAGGAATGAAGGTGTGGCCTGCATTCCCATTAGTAAAGATTTGTTAATGTTGCCTTGTGGCTGAGGCCTTTCAGTTGTCCTGGCAGTTAGCGTGGCCTGTATGGGATTACCATTCTCCCTGCTCATTTTGTCACCACCTACTGTACTTTGGAGCCTTGTGCATTTCTACCAGATGTGACTAACTGCAGACTCCAAGGCCAAACCAGAACCCACTGTTGATGGAAAAGTATTTGTAAATGTTAAAGTATTATGGTCTGTATTTGTTATGGTCTAGACAGCTCTCAAATAAACTAAAAACATCAAGATCTAAACAGATTTCACTTTAATATTTTGACTTTGTGCTGTGTAATCTTTACAGTTGATTTGAAATGTTTTTTTTGGTCTATGTTTTGGAGGTCATACATCAAATAGCATCAGGGTGTAATCTGGTCCGTTGTTGGTACTAGACTAGGCAGACAGGATGTAACCGGAGATCCCTGCACAAAGTTCAGAACAGTCTCTCTCTCCTTTTAAACCACCGAACTATAACAGCCCCAGAAATGACTGTTATCTACACTTGAGCCTTTGTTTTCTCTGCCCCCCCCCCCCCCTCTCCTTCTCTATCCCTCCCTTCTCATCAGCCCGCTCCGCTCCAAATCACAGACATAAGCAGCATTCTCCGTTTTTAACGGCTTCAACTGAAGCACTTATGAGGTGGGCACGGCTTTGTGCGATAGGGTACACCTGGAGAGGTCAGGGGGCCACAGAGGGAGTCGTCGGCGGGCTCTCTGCATCCCCAGACAGCTGCTGTAAAATGGAAAGGTCACAGTGGGATCAGGGAGGAGGAGAGCAGAGGCCCCAGTCACTCAATACTAATGTTTTATTAATGCCTCGCTGTGAGGGCCACCAGGAACACAAGCTGAATGAGGCTTTTATTGCGGCATCTGTGTACAACAACGATCCCACCTCCGTTCACTCAGACACACACATACACAGTTAAAGTTAGCACGTGCACACACACACTTTGTCTCCCGTCCCTTGAGTAATCAATCTGCCACATTACAGCCCTTGGCACGGCTGCTTAAATTTGCATAAACCTAATGGAGTTTTTATTGGTCTTTTCTCCACGCTGCGAGTAACAAAAAGCGAAAGGGAAAAAGATGCTTAAAATGGCTGAATAATCACCCAGACTAATTTGATTACACCCTCAAAAAGAGACGAGCTGTCATACAGTTACAGGGTCCTCTTCAGAAAGCCAGCTGGGATGGGACAGAGTGTGTCTGCCTGGTAATTAATCTGAATTACGTAATATTTGCGCCTCTCAAGTAGTGCTGAAGTGGTGCACATTCAGTCACAGAGACGCTCTTTGTTCCCGTCTTAAACTGGAGTTTCTACAAGGATTCATCAAGATGTGGCTCATTATACTTTGCAGCTGTACCAAGATGCTTGTGGCTCATCCAGGAGTCCTTTATTTGTCCCTCAAAACAATGCAAACTCATGTAAATGAAGTGACTGTGATTCATACCATGGTCAATACAGTGGAATTCTAGGTGGTCATTAGTAAACATGGCACAGGCCTTGTTGGACACAAGGGACAGATAAAGAAAGAGGACTCAGCTTTTGGTTTGGTGTATTGTGGGTAATTGGGCCTATAGAAGGCACAGATGGAGTCCAAGGTGCAATAAAACAAAAAAAAACAAAATAAAAAAAACTGCAGATGAATGTCATGATGCAGGTGTCGTCCACTAAATGTGACCTAGTCCCATGATGTGTGTATGTGTGTGTGTGTTCCTTCAACTAGAAAGTGTGACATTTTAAAATCATGAAAAAGCTTGAGATTTGGTCGTTATTTTCTTTTTGTCAAACTCAATCTGGCATTATTCCCATGTGGAGCAGACAGACTGAGTCAGGTTAAACCTCTGAGTGCCAGATCCAATCACTTCATATAGTCCCGGCCCATCTGTTTGGTCAGCTGAAGGACACATGGACTCCCTCCATCCCGCTCAGCAGCACACTGCGGTTACCGCAGTGGACCAGACCGAAGACACACACACACACAGGGCATCTGGGTACTTTCTGGGCTACAGTTATTAACGTGTTGGCATCCCACACTTATTCACTCAAGAAATCTTCCTCCCTGTTGGCAGGAGGAGGTCATATCTGTGAAGGTCGATTTGGCTATTTCGGTACAGTGAGCAAGTAAAAACAGAAAGTTTGAACACAAGTCAGGATGAATTTTTCCATATAAAAGACGGTAGTTTTACATATGCATCAAAGGTGAACAGCGTGGCTGGTACAGCTCAGTATATAATTGACCTTGACATGACAGGTAATAAAAAAGGGACTCTGAGACAGTCTAGAGCTCATTTCTGAGGACAGCAGGACCCTTGTTGCAGCTGAGGGAGCTGAAGTTTGGCAGTGTGAGACAGATTCTTTTATGGATGTACTGATGATGACAGACATATAACCTTTGTGGAATACATTTCGACACTGCGGTCTAAGTTTTTCATTCCCCTCTAGGCTGTTTCTAATTATAAAAAAAAAAAAAAAGTTGTGTAACACACGAGAGACCTTTTTGATCTGTACTTTTAATACACTTTGCTGACCTGAGTTCATATCGCGCCAGTGGCTCGACAACATGAATGTGTGTGAAAGCTCACTCCCACTGAACTCGAGAGATAGACGACTAAAAATAAAGCTGCAACTCGTATGAAACAGCGATGTTGTCGTAGTTGGAGCAGACCAGAGCAGCAAAGTATTTAAGATTCAGAGGCATGCTCTGCATCATCTGCACTTCAGAGAGATTAGACTAGCAGCAGCAGCAGTAGCAAAACTCAGCCTGTGACCCGTGCACATGAACACACAGAGAGAGCAGCAATGGAAACTTCCATCAGGCCTGCAGTTGCATGTGATAAACGTCGAAGAAGTTTCTGTTATGGGCTGTGGATCGAATGTCTGTAGTTTTTCAGTAAAGATCAAACCAAATGAGATAGTCATGTTAATAACTTGGATTTATATTATTTATATTGTTAGAGGCGCTTGTAGGTGGATTTTTATTTTTGTTTCCAGTCTTAATGCTAAGCTAAGCTAACCGGCTGCTGGCTGGCTGCGAAAAGGTTGTGTTTCCCAAAATGTCGAACTATTGCTTTCTAAAAATGTTGTAGAAAAATTGCTCATGTTTCTTAAAGTATGGTGTCATCATTTTGGTTTTGGTACCAAAACTCAGCCCTAGTTGCTTTCTGCCAAGAGGCTATTCAGCGGAACTGAGCAGTTTTTGTTGTTGTTTTTGTTTTTTTTTTGCATTTTTGGTGTTGTAGACAGATCTATTTTAGGATTTGGGTTTAATACAACATACTGCAGTTTGCACAGCATGAACCTGACATAGTAATTTTCTTCAAGAGGGTGTAATGTGCAATCAGATAGTTTTCCTACTGCTGCTTAATCTGAAGTTTGTTTGAAACCTCTTTGTGCCTCTCTGTTGTTATTCCAGTAGCACAGTGCTCTGGCTGACTGTTATGCTCCAGGCAATGTATTCACAACAGTAACAGATGTGTATGGATCAGTTGAGGCTTCTGTAGTATCAGCCGGCTTTGTTGGCCATGGAAATGAGAACTCATTAGGTTATCCAAACAAACCCCCAGCAGAGCCTGCCTGTAACTGTCAACTCTCTGCCTCCCAGCACAGAGAGCACAAACACATTCTTCATCTGCTCTGGCAGAGCTGAGTTATCATCAAAAATATGCAAATTAGATGTAAACATCATGTTCGCCCCCTTCCCCAAATATCCAGTGGAGCATTCCTTTATAACAGCAGGGGAGGAAAATTAGACGCTCCAAGTATCCGAGGTTGCAGAGTGAGCCGGAGATGAGAGATTCAAAAGAATTCATCTCAGTGTTTGTTGTACGAATGGTGCTTAACACATGCAGGAATTTGAAAATTGAACCATAAGAAAGACTCATACAGTGTGACTTATATCCGGATAAAGCAGATGAGCAGATGGTTTTGAATATGTGATTTATCTGAGTCCAGAGAAGCTTATTTTCACAGAGCTGGGTCCTCTTCACTGCCACCCTCAGATATTTATTACCTAGCGACATAAATGGCTTGAGCAGCTTAATCCCACATGCCAGGAGGACTTTGGTTAAATAACGCTCTGTCCTGAGGCATTATTAACGCTATGTGGGTAAGCCTGATAAAATGGCATGGTGATAAGCTGATGTGTAGCTCGGAGGACCCAAGTCTCTGCATTCCTCTCCGCTCCCCGAGAATGTCCAGGCCGCCCCTCTGGTCATGTGGTCGGTCCTCATACAACAGCAGCTCCTCTGAGTTCACAGGACCTAAACATTAATCTCCCTCTGTCTCTTTCCCCAGATCAGCCATGGTGTCTGGTATTCAGTCTCCCTTCGCTGGCTGCAGAGAGGAGGAGGAGGAGGAGGAGGAGGAGGAAGGGTTTGTGTATTCCTGCTGTGGCTCCATCCTAGCCTGATTCACATTATCTTCATCTGCAAAGGAGTGGAGGCCTGATTCCTGGAAACAGCCCAGAGACTGGAAGTCTGCGGCCTCTTTGCACCTGATCTGTTTACTCGTCGTTCTTGTGTAACTTTCCCATGTCGCCACTAGCCTGAGCTGGACTCGTTGCCATGTATACTGCAGGGACCTCACAGTGGTCTCTATATAACATGCAAGCCACAGCCAGGAAACAGACCGATAGCATAGATGTGTGCTCTGGGCAAATGCCTCAGATTTTCTCTTTCCACCTCCTGGGTCAAATAAGCTACTGTGACTGTGTCGGCCCTGCACTGCTCAACTGACTCACTCCATCATCAAATGTGTATTATCTCGCCAGTAGATTACCAGTTTAACAGACTCTGAAAGGACTTATTAGTGTCTCTCACTGACATGTTGTTTTACAGCAAACTTAAAAAGAAAGTCGGCTGTGCTTTGTTGTGGTTCCTCTCCCCTCCTGACACTGGGCGTTTACTCAGGTGTAATTTATTTGGATTGCTGATAGACTGAATTAGACCTTTGCTCTGCCAGACGTATGGGGAACTAGAGAAGACATTTGGGGAAGTGTATGATTTTGTGCACAGAAACAATCTTCCTGTCTGTATTTTTAGACGTTGGACTTGGGCTTCCCTCAATTTTGGTGAGCTAAATTTGAATCTTCCTCCTCAACTTAAAATACAAGCTCGCAAGAGAGAATGTGGCCCGTTACGGCTGAAGAAGATACTTTTCTCGTTCAAGCTGTTTTTTCAAACTATGATTTTGTCATTTTGTTGTTTTGTGTCTCAGGGTTTTGTATAGTTTTTGCCTGTATTTGTTCAAGGAAGGGAAACCTTTTTGTTTCATGTTTTCTGTTCTGAATACTTTTTTTTTTTTTTTTTTTGTGAATGTACAAGTTTTGTGAAAAATAATTTTACAGAACTGTCTACTTTTAGAAAACATTCTTACATTGTGAAAATGTATGACTACACTTAATAGCAGGGGTCATATTTAAACACAATAACACAAATATTGCCAAAATACAAATAGCTAATCTTAGTGTTATTTTGGATTTAAATAATGGAAGCTATGTGTTTCCAAAGTAGTTAACTTTGTAGCTATAATATCTGAGTATCTTAAATGGAAGTCTTTTGCGTGTGTATAGATTGTATACTTGCTTTGTAATTCATTTGTAGAAGCCTTTGATTTGCACAATTTGTACAAAGAAATCTCTTAATGGTCTTAATTTTTGTATCTTTGTCTTAACCCAGCTTGGGTAGTGTGAATAATCAAAGCCTTTTTGTAGCACATAATTCTGTTATTTCTCTCTCAACAATCATTTCATTTGTGTACTGTTTTCCAATAAGTCAAATATACTGGTATGTGAAGCTGTTACTGACACACCATCTGTTACTTCATGTTCTACAGCTCAGAACTTGTCAATAAATGTCATCTTGTTGGGAACATATTTCGTCGTTTGTCCTCTGTTTTCCAGGGACTGACGACTGGAATTCGGCAGCTGTATCATTAAAACAGCCTGGTCAGCCATATAATCACACAGGTGCTCTTAACGTGCCTGGAATAGTTTCCGAACGCAGGTTAGGAGCGGTTTTGGTATTTACCGGGAACACCCGTCTCCTTCCTCCTGTCTGTCAATGCCGTCTCGCTCTTATAATACCCCCTTGTCATAGCGATATCACACATTCTGGTGATGTGGTATGTGAAGTGCAAGCCTCTGCTGCGGCTCTGGCACTCGCCAAGTCAAGATGTGCGCACACATTAAAACCCTCAAACCCTGAAGAATGTGCTAAGTCTGCTCAGCCAGTGTCAGTCAGGTGATGCCTCTCCGTACCTCTCACTCTGCAGAGGCCAGGTCTACGTGAGAAGACGCTGAAGTCCAGACTGGGCGTTGGGTGGGAAGATGTCTGGTTGGCACACGTTTGCAGGGAGGAGAACCGGAGAGGAATGTACCCACACTCAGAGTAAGGGAGGTGGTTCTGAAAGTGCTGCCTGCAGGCTCCAAGTTTAAAGATGCTTGTGACGTCTCAGCCACTGAGCCATTATATTGCTGTGGTGTTTGAACAATCCACCTCCACTTTGAAACCAGACATCACTTGCTGTTTCTTTTGATTTCATTACCTTGTGGTATACTTTAACTTTCAAATTCTTGCTCTATTCATTTCGAAGCAAACTGTTGTCAGAGCGTCTGACCCTCAGAGGACGTGGCTACAGATTATCCAAACACCAACGGTTCTTTGGATTCTGTTTTTGACCTTGGAAACAGTAGTTTGACAACAGCAGATCATCAGTAGGGTAAAACTAACTTGTCTCATGACCAAGATCATGTTCCTTATTAGTGGGCAAACTATCCCAGATTTGGTGACTTCATTTAACGCTCTCGAAAAAACTTGCTAGTGGACCTTGAGTTAAATTGTGCAAAATGGACTCCACAGTGCTCCTATCCATGGTAGTGTAATACTGTTAATATGGTTGAAAAAGTGTGTGTGTGTGTCAGACAGCGAGAACGAGGGCGTAAGGAAAACAGAAGGCTGTTGAGTCACGAGGGAAACGGCCTACTGAATGTTTTGCAAGTTGTGCTCTAAGTGATTTGAATATCAAATTAACATTTCCTCAGATATGTTGATCGCTGTAACATCATGTCCTAAATATTTAAAGAAAGAGTGCAATGTTCTAGATGTCTCCAAGTTTAATTAACAGAAAATTCGCCCCATATACACCAACTGATTTCCCTGCAAATTACAGAATTTGTGTAACAAATTATATAAAAGCTTTAGGCGATGCCCTAAAACAAACACTTGAGTGACATAATGCAACAGCATTGTTCAGTCTTTTGAAAGCCAACCGAAAAAACTTCAAAGCACGCTGTTAATTGGATGTAAACGGCTCCAAAAACTGCCCCTCTGCAGCCATGACATCATATGCCTGTAACAGGCTATGTCCAGTCAAGCATGTGGACATGTTTGTGCAAGTATAAGTACAGAGATTCATCAAAGGTTAATTTATGGATTTTTTAATACAATGCAGACTTGCATAAAAAGATGAAACAGCCCTCTCTGAAAAGGAGACCTGGCACCGGACAGCGGGATGAGCAGGCCAGTCAATGGCTCCTATTGTAATGCAAAATGTGCAAACTGAGCAATTTCAAACACATCTTGCCGACAACACAATTAAACCACGGTGAATAAATAGACATTTGAAAGTCGGCTGAAGACAAAAGAACCTCAGAGGCTGCCAAAACAAAACAAAAAAAATGGAGGGAGGGAAGGAGGAGAATAAAGGGAGAGAAAGAGGACAAACTGTCATAACAATCTGCTGGACTGAAGGATATGTGGGGTTTCTGTGCATGTGTGTGTGTGTGTGTGTGTGTCTGTGTGGTTTTTGTGTGAATATGAATTTATGCTTAATGTGCATGTGTATCTTTGGTGGTGTGTGTGTGTGTGGTGGGGGAGGAGCAGTTGTGGCTTCTTGTTAACCCATAAGAAAGGAGGCAGTGAGGTGGAACGGACAGGGACGTTGCACTCTGCCTCTCCACCCAAATATTGGCGTGTGTCTGCTGGCCTGAGACCCCCAGCTGGGTCCTCCGCCTGCCTGGGACAAGGACAAAGACGCCTTGTTGAGGCCAGAATCGACCTCCTCTCACCTTCCCCAGGGGGCCTGGAGGATGGCCCTGCAGGCCGGCTCAGGAAACCCCAGAGTGGAAGGGAGGATCAATATTCACCTTCTGGCCTGTTCAGATCTAGCCTGATAGATCTGCAAGAATGTGCAATTATTTCTGAATTCAAGAGAAACAAGGTTACTGTAAATAAATTTGGCAACCTCGTATAATGTTTGTTCACTGTAGCAACATACATCAAAATGTATTAATCCTACAGCTTTGCTTTCTTCTCCAGGTCATAATTAAGAGGATATTTGAAGTGCAACAACCAGGTATGAAGATGAATTATAAAATGAATGTGTGTATCTTCGTCAGACAGACAGGGAGTGTGTTTACAGCACAAGCTTGTGTGTGTGTATGTGTGTGTGTGTGTCTTAGAGTTGAACTACCACCACGAGCAACATCTTAGACACTGTTGACTGTCCGAGAAGAGACTTCACTCATTCCTACTCTTACATAAGTCTCCCTGGTTGCAGATCTCTGTAAGCAAACATCAGGGTTCTCCTCCTATACTGTCTTTCTCTCTGTTTCACTTTCAAATTAAGTTTCATTGTTCTTTATTGGCATGAATACTAAGAAAGACTTTCACAAGCATGTCCAAGCATGTCTTCAAGAATAAATTGTTACTGAACAATGTTGTCCCCCTTCTCTCTGTGCCTATGCTGGTGGTGGAGTTAAAGGTGTCTATGCATCTTTGTGCCCCCCCCCCCCCTCTTTCCTTCCCTCGTGTCTCTGGCTGCAGGCGTCTCTGCTGGCATCAGCTCTGAGGTTTCAGAGCTGACTGGGTAAGCAAATGAGGAGTAAACAGAGTGTGAGACAGACAGACAGACAGTCTAACCACTGGAGCGAATGCAGGGGTTTGTCTTGCCTCTGCTGCTGTCTGAGCAGGAGGTGTGTGTGTGTGTGTGTGTGTGTGTGTGTGTGTGTGTGTGTGTGTGCGCGTGTGGGACAGGGACTCAGGAGCTTGACAGGTCAGCAAAACCAAGAGGAACGAGAAACCTGAATTAAATCTGCACTCATATTCATCAGCTCCTCTGCAGACTGAGCTGTGTACAGTGTTTTTTCTACAATGGTAGGGTGCCACTGTTATGTGCTGTTAAATGTTGACTCATGTATAAAATTCATATTTCTTTAGGTCTAATACAGTCTGTTTTAGATCTAAAGAAATCCTCAAAACCCCTTCACAAACAAGCTCATTTTTATATCATGACAGGGCCGTAGTATTAGATTGCAGCATACAGGCGTTCCTAATAAACTGGCCACTGA